CGAAAAATTTCCGCACCATCATTCAGCTGCGATCCAACGATAATATAAGTAAAAATAATAAAATTACAAAAATGCGAAGGCATTTATGTATACATACTTCTTGCAATATGGTCTCGTTGGTATGGTCTTGCTTGGTTGCAGTAGGAACTTTGACCGATACTTTCATAGCTTTTCTACGGCTAATAACTTTTAGTTCATCATCAAACTCAGTTTTTACCCGAACCCATTCGGCCGTGTAAAGCCTGCCAAAATTGCCGGTGCTAACCTCTACAAGGTTTTCAATACGCGTTGACGGTATCCATTGAAGACTAGGGTAGTAATACGCTGATTTGTCCTTTGTGCAGGAATCTTTGATCGTCTTATCGTACTCGGCGTTGCCACTGCTCCAATTGTCACCCAATTCATTGCGTTCACACTCATCACACCACTCTGCCGCTTCAGGGAGAGCCTGGCCACATACAGCACAAAAATTGGTTGCCACCAATGCTAATACTCCAGTAGACTCGATTCGCGTCATACCAAGTATAGGCAGCCGCAACGGATTCTCAAATCCCATACCAGCCTTCAGCTATAACAATCAAAAGATACCGTAGTTTAAGTACCAATTCAGACAATTTTATTGCTACAATCGAATCAGGAGTAAATTTACCTGATTCCGAAATGACAAAGTATCAGCTCGAAGTAAGACTCTGGTAGTTTTCCAATGTAGTACAAAACTACGATCCTCACCTTCACAATCCCACTATATTCTCCTTTTGTCCAATCTGCTGTGTAGATGATCCCAAACTTGCCCTTAGCCAATTCGGCAAGATTCTGTAGTTGATCAGATGGAATCCATTTCAGACAGGAATACGAATATAAACTTGCATCTACTTGTGTTCCTCGAATAATTGCATCATACTCATCATCTCCTGTAGTCCATCCTTCCATCAATTGTTTAATGTTACACTTATCGCACCACGGACTATCGCTAGGTAACAGTCCACCACAAGTATTACAAAAATTTTCGGCCACCAACACGAGATTTCCTGTAGATCCTTGACGAGATACGCCCAAAAGTCGGAAGCCTTTTCCTGCAGTACTCCGGAACACGGAAGTTAGTACTGCATTAGCTGTTCGTAACTAACAAAAAATGGACGTCAGTATTTAATTGGGCGCGTGGCGATAACACTGATTTCGAATGACAAAAAGTGAACATAATCGGATTCCTCACCTCATGCGAAAATTCTTCCTCCGCACCACTTTCGGAATTCATAACCTTAACATCAACTTTTAGAGACTTCCAACAAATCACTCGCTTTCCATCTGGCTCGAAACGCACACAATCAAACTGGCCGTCCAACCAGTCGGCTTTGTAAACCACGCAGAATTCTCCCTTTGTCGTCTCAACCAAATTTTGTAAGCGATCCCATGGGATCCATCGGAGATAATACTTGTCGTAATCGCGCGCGTACTGATTGCGTTTTAATATCTTGTCATATTCCGCATTCCCAGTCGTCCATCCCTCCACGAATTGTTTATAGTCACAATCAGCAGTGCACCAAATTGTTTCTCGATACAACGTTTTACCACAAACGTGGCAATTGAATGGTACGTTACTCATTTTGAAACGAGACTATCAACCTAGTCAACTCGTTGCAGTTGTTCATAATGAACATTGTATTCATAGTGCGCAGCTTTGCAGGTTGCTCAGTAAGCCCGGATTAGTATTCATTTCATTTCCTGTTCCTGCCTAAAAATGGAAGTGGGAACAAAAAACTGGTGTGGGGCTCATAGTCACGGGTCTGCCGAATTTTTCGGTACCATATTACGTTGGAGAACGGTATACCTTCATTGCGATGGTCTTTGTAAGGAATCTGTTCCAGTTCATACGTGAGTCGAAGGACAGTAAGCGGATTCTACATCTACAGTGTATGTCGACGTTGAGATTATGTTGAGAGGTCGAAAGATGATGTTTCGTGAGGTATGATGAATTTTTTGTGCATTAATTATCGAGGCGGAACGAAGAACTGGGAAGGCTATTTCTGTATCAAACCTGTGACGGTATCCGGAACAATTCATTTTCCTTGATGAGACTTATCCACTTTGTAGAGATAGTGTTCCTTATCTTGGCTTAATTAACAATTGGATTTTAGATTCAAATACGCGCCAGCACATTCAATGATGAGAGCAGAATTATTGCCTGATGCTAACATGATGTTTGATCGGATAGCATAGGCCAATTTCGAGAGATTTCGATGGTTTATGTGAGTAGTATACACGTCAATACTTATGATCGATTATATTTAATTTCTAGCTAAATTTGAAACATTTTGATTGGCTAGCCTGTGTTTCGTTTTCATGTGATGTTTTCTCAAATATGAACAGTATTTAATGAATATGTTCATTGATCGGCATGGGGAGTGGTAGGACAACTAATTTTTTTCCATTTTACACATATTAATGGCAGAAGACTATATAAAAAACATTGTAAAAAATGCACGAAACGCTGCCAATAAATTACGGCACATGAAACCGGAAGACAAGACTATATGTCTCCCGATACTAAGAGATAAACTTCAATCTGACAAAAACAACATATTGCTTGCCAACAGACAAGACAAAGAGGTTAGACCTGATTAATCACAAGATGTAATTATTTCTCAAAATAACTCCTTATATCCGTTCTTCCCCTCAGAATGCAGCTAAGTTAGTCCAGTCTGGAAACTTATCAGCATCTCTCTTTAAAAGACTCGATCTTGAAGATGGCGATAAATTCGATTCGATGCTCCAAGGAATTACTGACATTGATAACTTGCCCGATCCAACCGGAAAAATAACGTACGCGTGTAGACTGGACGAAGGATTAGAATTATACAGAGTCACGTGTCCTGTTGGAGTGTTGCTGGTAATCTTCGAAGCAAGACCGGAAGTGGCCGTCAACATTACCGCATTAGCGTTAAAGTCTGGTGAGAAATTAAAATAAAGCGATGGAGATCTCTCCATGGTTTTTTGTCTTCAAGGGTCAAGCTAAGGAGCTTTCTTTATACGTGGCTTGATATCAGAGCAGTGCATGAACATTATTCAAACTCTGTTAATTCTATATAGGAAACGCTGCGATCCTTAAAGGCGGTACAGAATCTCGTTTGTCGTTGGCAGCCTTGTATTCATCTATTCGTTCCGCTCTTGCCAAGACCAACATTCCACCGACTGCAATCCAGCTTGTCGAAACCAGAGAAGAGATTAGCGCGTTACTCAGCCAAGACAAGTACATTGATCTGGTGATTCCACGAGGGAGCAATAGTCTAGTCAGACATATTCAAAGCAACACTAGGTGAGGAAAAAATCAAGTATACATTCCTTGTCGGATGCATGGGAGGAATCGATTCTTTTTCCGCTCATACTCAAACATCAATAATACGTGAAATCATGCAGGATACCTGTTCTCGGACATGCTGACGGGTTATGCTCTGTTTACGTTGACAAGGATGCTGATCTCCAGAAAGCCGTTCGCGTTGTAGTCGATTCCAAGGTATTGTCCAAACATACAAAGCATTGTCATACGCGTTGAAACAATTTTTTTGTTTCTCAGCTTACTTTCTTTTCTCAGATCAATTATCCGGCGGCATGTAATGCAGCAGAGACTCTCTTGATCGATCGCTCCATTCTATCGACACATTTCCCAACGATTGCCAATGCACTCGCGCAAGCCAAAGTCGAACTTCACTGCGACGCCGAAGCGTTATCCTCTCTCTCCAATCAGGAAAACCCCTATTTCAAATCATGTGAAGAGAAAGATTTCGATACCGAATTCTTGGACTTGAGAATTGCTGTAAGGACTGTCGATAACGTAGAAGAGGCGATTGCGCATATTAATGAACATGGCAGTAAACACACGGATGCCATAGTTACGGAGAACGAAGAGACGGCAAGAAGCTTTATGCAGGGTGTGGACGCAGCAGGCGTTTATTGGAATGCAAGTACCAGATTTGCTGATGGTTTCAGATATGGATTTGGTGCCGAGGTTGGGGTAAGAAATCTTTTATCAAATCTGCCCAATCCTTTTTTTTTTTTGGAGATGTTGCTGCTAACAGTACGTTCTCTTTTACTTGTTTTCATTCCTTAATAGGTCAGCACAAACAAGACGCACGCGCGAGGGCCTGTCGGGTTAGAGGGGCTTGTCATTTATAAATACCAGTTGTATGGAAATGGTCACATTGTTTCAGAATTTGGTGAAAGCGATCAGAAGAAAAAGTATCTGCATCAGAGGATATCAATGCTAGAGGATAAGGATGCATGATAATAAGCAGCTGCAGTCCTTCATTTTTATAATGAACCGCACAGTAACTAGAATTCCATCCAATATAATTGAAATTGTATACCACCTTTGTAGTCGAAATGACGATTGTTATTTCATTAGTAACTATTATTTCATTGAATGATGTCATATTCAGATCTCTATACGTATGACAATACAATTATAAATCACTCCATGTTTCACTGTACTGTGCTACATTTCTCGTTTGAGACAGACGTTTATAATAATGAACTTTTCAAACAGGTTTGCTTTATGGAAAGTACTGAGGTCATGTCGTACCTGTCGTACCATTACTATATATGTGTTACAAATATGATATCAAAAATGCTTTATTTATGCTAACAAATATCTAATATGTCTAATAATATAAGAAGTTTTTATCGAGCTATCCAGTAGCCCAAGCAACAATAAGACGAAATGGCGTTACAGGAAGAATGGCAAAACAGGATAAAATATAATAACTATGAGAGATGCTAAACTGATGAGATAATCATAGTAATGAGAACTAAAATAACGAGACAATAAGATGTGAGATATACAATGATGAAGAGTAATGCGATAATAAATAAGAGATATTAAAATGATGAGATATTAATATTAATTAATAATAATAATAATAAATTTTACTGATATCGAGATTAATATTAATGTGAATAGATACGCGAAGTTGTGTAACAGCGATCATAAGACAACCCCAAGCTCATCATTGATTATCAGGCCAGATATATGGTGCTTCCTCCCTAAACTTTAACATTGTCTGCTCAGCTAACTGGTTAAATGTTCGTCTGACATTAGGTTCAGCTGAGTTCCATAGTTCCGAAGATAGGGCTGAAATTTCAGCGACGATGGTATTATGCTTTTGAGAAACTTGTTCATTGAAAAAGATACGAAATATCAAATATCCTCCTATGGCCTGTGTACTGCCGCTCAAGCGTGGGTTGGGAATATGTTTACGGATGTCTTGTATTATGGGAACTGGGAAGTTAACGTAAATATCATCGCCTAGAGCACAGGTTATTTCAGCCATTTCAGCGGTAGTAATCAGTCTAGTTCTGTATTGGTTTGTTGGAGCCATCTGTGATGTTTCTCTAGAATTTATAGTGTTAAGAAAATGAGCAGACGATTCTTTTTGCGTTTTTATTAGCTAGTAAGGTGTTTGAGATGTAAGAAACAGGTGAACTGTAAAAAGTTTTGTTGGTAGGCATTAGGCAGGGCAGAAAGGGCTGTTATATAAGTGAATCATCTCGGCTAAACGGTTATATTTATTTCCATTAATAATTACAGATATTTGTGGGTCTGGAATTCTCAGCTTTGGGTAGCGGCGATACAGTAACAATAGCCGAATGGGCGAGTAGACACATCCATAATAAACACAATCTATTTTACAACATAAAATAATAATAAATATGCACACGTTTGTTTCTGGACAAATACTGGGTTTTACGCATGCCAAGAATAGAAAAACCGAAAATGGTCTTACAATTTGTTCCTGATTGATTGTAATGATTTACTGGACTATACACAGTATTACATGTAAAGCTTTCCCCCTTCTTTTTCCAGAACAATTCTATATCTGATTATTGTCATTGTCAAAACTTATATGTCAGTCACCCATTCATTCCACAAGCCTTTTTTAGTACAATTTATAATTAGTCATCGCAACATCTTTTAAAACAAACGTCATTAAAAATGTACTGGGCCCGGAATCAATCTCCTTGCGTTTGTCTGTAATTTATTTCTGAACACGTATTTGTGCGACTTACTAAATATGGATATAACAACCAGGTATATTGTAATGTGTTACAGAACTTTAGAAGTGTAGTACAATAATTATTAATAAAGTCTCACAAGTGCCAATCTTGAATTAGATCGCTGCTGCGGAGATCATAACAATGCCCTTTGAACATTTGATGAGGGACGAGTTACTGCGTATGATATACATGTGTACATATGGTATTTGCAACATTTTCAAATTCAATCTCAGATCAAATCATGTTCTATTACTATGCCTTCTTTGACAGGTTCTACAATTCTAAATATGCAATTAGTGGAATAAGTTCTTTGAAATCGATCCTGCGGATATATATCTTAATAATCTCAAAGAGAATCTTAACAATAGAGAAAGGCTCAACCAAAACAGGTATAACAATAAACATATTCAGGTATCATGACATCATTGTACACAGCCATATATTACATCCCTTGTGTCCTGAAAAACTCCGTTTCACTGAAAGGAATGGTTCACAATATGAGAAACTGCATGGTAACAACGTCGTTCTATGAACAAAACTTCAAACGATCAATATTATTAACGGCCAATCTTAAACAATCTTTTAAGTACCACTCCACTCGGTAGTACCTCTCACTTTATTTATTCACATATCGTCCGCTGTACAGGTACCTCAGTCTTTACTCAACCACCGCCACTCCTCTCTTCTGCGTGTCGACCTCCCTAATAGCCACAACGTTCACTCCAACGAATCCAATAAATACCATCAGCGCACCCAGCCAATATGAACCAGCCATAACAATCCCTTTTACAAATACATCCCCAAAGATTGCCAACGGTATCGTCAGCGATAATCCTAGCGTCACTACTAACGGGGACGTCATCAACATTGACAATAACCAAAAATAATCCGAGGCAAATGTCCCAATTAACGCATTGACCATAATCATAATCCAAAAGTTCGTCGAAGATGGTAATACAAATTCTTCTACACCGGTTGCATCAAGTAATAGAAACAATGGCCAGAGAATAAAGGTGTTGAATAACCCAACAAAGCCAAAGAATAGGGGCATATTCACGCGAGATTCGTCCTTTATGCGCAATTTTAGTAAAACGGTATAACATCCATAAAAGAAAGCGCCAATTAACGCTAAGAAATCACCAAGTATTCTGGAACGCGGTGCGGCCGGCTCGAACAAGTTGACATCGCTGTCGTCGTCATCGTCTGATCCGTCTGCTGACGAGATTAAAACAATCCCGATTAAGCTAAAAATGCCAAAGTGTAGTGTGAAATTGGATGATGTAAAGATTGTTTAAGGCGAGAATAAACCAAGGAGAAAGTAAATATAAAGACTGATGTCCCTTGTGATTATGTCTTCTCAATTTACCTCGTTGAAACAGCAACCAGTTTGGTAAGCGTAAATCTCTCAATACCGACGAGCGATCCGATACAGAGTGTAAAAAAGCCTGTCGGAAAACACACACACGATATTCGTAGTTGTTAGGTATTAACACGTGAACATCATTCCTGACTCGTCATCCTTACTACACACCCCACCACTCCCCCGAAATACAATTTGCAATCCTACCTGACATTGATGCTAATATCGTACTGCTTGCGACGGTTGTATATGCTAATGATGCATTGCTACTCCAGTTCGCTAATAGAATCAGAATTCTTTGTTTAGAGTCATTCACGTAAATGAAATAAAATTACTCTATCAGTTTTAACTTACCGATAAACCACAGTGCACAGAATGTCAAACTAAGCTTGGCAGTCTAACGTATAATCACATTACATCCGTCCAAACATAGTCACGTTAATACCCGTCAACAAAACACCCCAATACTTGACTCGCATCCCAGCTTCACATTTTTTTTAAGACATAATTACCTCTCTCATACTCAAGTGGTTCTGCTGATTCTGAACAGACATTAATACGTCATGAGGATCGAGAAACGTTTGTCTCTCTGAAGACGCACTTGATGATGCATAAAGCAAATGGGTGTCGTCATCTATGGTGGGCTCTGATGAGTAATTATGGACTTGTGCTAACGTATGCGAGTATGGCTACAGAAAAGGATACGAAATCAGTATTGATATTTTCAAATAATGACAGCCGGTAAAAGAAAAGGAAACACGTACAATTGAATCATTAATAGATTCTTGAGAACTCCTCGAAGCCGTGTCGTATAAAGCATGGTTGAACTCTATTATACTGGTGTAAAGATAGAGAATTGGTATTCACATTACATGCCTGCTAAACGTTTTGTGAAAGCTTTTTGTAAATACCTTTGTTTATCAGCGGGTCGTCGTCTGCAAATAAACAAAAAGATCAAGTACAAAGAGAACGAGGCTGTGTTGATATACGTTATTGCAAATGGTTTATTGTAGTCTAAAAAGATATTCTAATTCCGTAGCAATAAACCACACGTTAATAACAAGTTGAGAGAAGAAATACTGGGTGGGATCATTGTCTGTTGAAAAATTGGTATTGGAAATTACGCATACATTCATCAAAAATGAAGACCCGACCCATAGAACTACTACAGCTAGTAGTGCACATATTCCTATAACGTATCTCCGTCGACTTGTTGGTTTCATGTTTCGTTAAAAGCAAATTCTCAAGACTCGTAGAATTCGTTCTTTGATCACAAAGTGTGACTGTGTAACTAGGGGTGAATACAACAATCATGTGAAAGAAAAGCGGTGAATAGAATTATTTGTTGGAATTTTTACAGTAATCGTAATAAGAAGTTATAACGACAGCAATAAAAAAATCATAATACCAGTACAGTATTCCCAATTGCACATTCCCTTATCGGTATGTCGTTATCACAATAACTGCCGGGAACTAATAATAATAATGACGGGTAATCCAGCACACACATGCGAGATGCAATCACGTAACACACCGAATTTTTAGCCAATAGGAAAAAATAGTATGAATTATCTGAAAGATATTATTAAACACCAACAAGCGTTAGTAAAGTGACAAAGTAATCATGGCATATGAGGTATAAAGAAACAAAAATATGCTAATTAAAAACCCCATTCGCTTATATATTAACTATTACATATTATGTTTTGTAAGGAAACTGAACGCTCAACTTCCCCTTCGAGGGGCTCTAGCTCAACAACCAGCTATATATCAAACAACATTCTCACAACAAGCGCTCCAGGCGCTGGTGCTCTTTCAATGACATCTTCTACATCATCATCACTGGGTAATGCTACGACTCAAGGCAGTTTTCCGAAAATTATACTTCAACTAATGGAACAAGGGCTTATGTCAGCAAATGCACAAGTAAAGGCATTGTTAACGGATTTGAAATATGCCGAGAATATTTACGCACTCAAATACCTTCTCGAGCATAAACGAGATTCCGT